GGACCAGAATCGCCTCGAAGCCGTGCGGAAGTCTTTCTCCATGGCCTCTCCAAACTCCTCTCATGCCCGGGTTTTTGCCTCAGCGACCACCCGAGCCGCATGCCGTGTAAATAATAAAAATCATGAAAGATGCTTGGCTTTAATTTCAAATGTCTTTTGATACAAATGAAAACGTAGTGAGTTTCAGGACATGGGTACCAGGAAACATTTTGTGGGGAACATAACTGTATCTACCAGGGGGAAAAAATAGTCACACAGCCATTGTACTGTATTTACCCCTAAAAACCTGATGAACTAACACTGGGCCAGTTCAGTGATGGGGTCACACATGATTCAACACAGAAAAATTGAGCGACCTTGCTGGCCATAGGAGACCTGAACATGATGCAGGAAGTCTGTAACACATGTAAAGTGTGACTCTGTGACCCTTACAAGGGTGCTGTCTCAGAGTGAGACATCCTGAGATGTTTCTGACATCTGTCTGTGCTGTCAGCATCCCTAGAACCACCCTGAGAGGTGAACCTATGGGTGCCTCCTCAGGTCCAGCCTGGTTCTCTATAACAATGACAGAGAACTGTTCAAATGGTAAATGGACTGAACTATAGAGCGTAAATAGTTTCCTTACCTGTGACACATTGGTAACACTTTCTTTTACGGTACCCTTATTACTATGTAATTACAAGGTAATAAAAAAATGTAATTAAATGTAATTACTACATTATTACCATGTAATTTCTTGGTAATTAAGGAACAATTTTACTACGTAATTGTCTGCAGTAATGTAGCATTTACCTGGTAATGTATTACAATTCACTATGTAACACCTAAATAAGTAATGGGTAATTTGGACAGTTTTAAAGTTATATTTTGTTGCAATTAACCACTAACCCCAAAATTTAGTTGCATTCTTTTGTTTATAAATATAGTGTTGAGTTACTATTGAATAGTAATTTGATTGTAGTTACCAATAAAGTTAGTTTTACTAACAGTAGATTTTCTTTTGTACCGTAATTACCACGTAATTACATGGTAATAAGGTAGTAATTACCATTTAATTACATTTTATTACCTTGCAATTACATGTAATAAGGGTACAGTAAAAGAAAGCGTTACTGACACATTTTTAATTTTTATATTGTTTTTTGTTATATTTTTTTGCATGGTTTTAAAGTTTTGTATGTTTTCTTTATATTTTTATTATTATTTGCATGGTATGTAGCTGATTGTGAGTGGGTCTTCATGAGCTGGGTTGTTGGACAGCTCCAGTCTGTCTTCAGCACCATGGACAGTTTCCTCGGCTCTGCTGCTGGGAGTTGTAGTTCTTTCTGCTCCTGCCGCTTCCTCTTTTAGAAAACTCTCGTTTTCACTACACAAAGGACACAATGTCCCACAGTGCTTTGCTCCCGTGACTTCTCTTCAAGACAGCTGGGTGTTTTCTCTCCATCTCTACAGCAGCTGTCAGTTTCCCGTAGTTAGCGCGGAAAAACGGACAGCAAACTTTCAAAATAAAAGCCTACATTTTGGGGCGGCTGTGGCTGAGTGGTTAGGGGAGTCGTCCTGGAGCCGGAAGGTCACTGGTTCGATCCCCCCGTCCAGCTGTCTCAGTTGTTGTGTCCTTGGGCAAGACACTTCACCCCAATGCCTCCGATGTGTGTCCCATCAGTGTATGAATGTGATCGGCACTGATTATTCTCCACAGATGATTGTACATGTAGCTTTGTAGGAGATCTGGTAGAGTGCTGTGTGAATGGGTAAATGAGGTCACAGACTGTAGTGTGAAGCTCTTTGAGTATCCTGGTTGGGTAGAAAGGTGCTGTACAAGTACAGTCCATCTAACATATTTAGTCTTGGATACACATGTTCAAGCTTTTTTGTTAAAATTGCAACCTACAACAATGCTCAATTCTAAATTAACAAAAGTAACAATAAAACTGAAAATCAGATATTTATTTTATTCAACATTTTAAAACATTAATTAATGAAAGTTTTTAGAAAAAAATTAAACCTTATAAATTGTTGCACTACATGAAATAAAGATCCCATTCTTTTTTAGTTCAATTAGTTACCAAAACATTAGTGCTTTTATTTGATTTGGCATATGACAAATCAAATAATAAATTATTATATTCACACACACACACACACACACACACACACACAC